CTGGTTACTGAAGAAGTCGTCAGTGTTGTACGCTGCCTGTCAACCCCTGGCCACCCTTTTTATTCTTTTTTTCTGTAAAACTTAATGTCTGTGTAGGAGACAGTGGTGACTCTGCTGCTGAAAAGAAAGAAAAAAGTCACAGGTGTTTAATGACAGGCCTATTGGTCCAAGTCATAGTTGTCTCCTTGGCTCTTGAGTTGGGCGTCAGGACTGCTAACCCTTTTCAGTAGGCAGTCCTGTAGGTGATTTAGGGCTTTTTGCTTGGAAAAATATTCAGAATACCCATAAAATTAATTCCAGGTCTCAAGAAACAAATTGGCATAGTGGGCAAGCGTAAGAACTGAACCAGTCTGTATAGAGTTGTGTTTCCTTTTCTTCAGCTGTCAGGTTTTTTTTTTTTTTTAAATAAGCAATCCATTTTTATTCACTTTTTTGGTGAATCTTCTAAGGGAAATTTTATTTTCAATCCCAGTTTTAATTTCTGAAAATGGGTAGGTATAAATAAGGTTACATTATCATGGTGTGAGTTTGTCTAGCCCAGGTATAATTAATCTCCATTGTAGTTTGTTTCTTCCTTTTTTTTTTTCCTCCCACCATAGTTCTCTTTCTCCTTTCCTTTCCTCTCATCTCCTCTTCTTAGCTTTCCTCATTTTCTACTTTAACGTGGGTACTTGGGGGAAACTTTACTTGGTCAGAGTCAGGCAAGACAGCCGTACTAAACACTAGTTAGTCCCCAAACTACCAGTTGTCGGGTTTGAGTCAAGATTCTTACTGGTTGTGACTTAGTTTCATCATCTGTAACATGTAGTCTCCACCTTAGCGATTAAATGGAGTGTTTAGAATAATGACTGGTGTTTTAGGTTTGGGCTAGAGTGTGCTCAATGAAATATGTTGAGTCCATAACAGAATTTTTAAGTGATCAGATATCAGCTTAATGATACACGCACAGAAAACTACAGAGATGACCTGCCTGGATATTCATGTATCTGACCCTTCTGAAATTCTATGGAAACAATGTTCCATTTTCTCCATCTTTAAGAAATTTTGTGGAGAAAGTCTTTGATGATTGTGCTAGGATGTTACTGTTCTGAAAGAGTATAGATGCTTATGTTGGTTATTGCCAATCTTGTCATGTTATTCTTAAATAACAGTAGAGATAGCAGTTGCAAAGGGGAGGAACGGACTGGTGTAAGCCTGTTTTCATAGCATTCTGAAATCTGTTCAAGTTGCTTCCAACAGGTCACAAAACCAGCTCACAGGAATCAGCTTTGGGGTTCCTGGTTTGGTGTAGTATTATTTATAACACAGCAGAAGTGTCCCAAGAAGTGGGTGGGGTTTTAATAGGCAGGTTCTTCTCACTGCTGAGCCTTCTTGGCATCTGGGGGATTCAGTGGAAATTCTCCACTTTTTGTTTTTAGGGTTTTTTTCATTTGTTTTCTAAGAAAAAATGTATTTTATTTAGTTACATCTCGAGACCAGATATCACTAGTTCAGGCCAGCCTCATTCCTGCCTTACTCCTCCCAAGTCCCAAAAGCACACACATGTGCTACCACATCCAGTTCTCTTGTGGATTTTTGTTTGTTTAGTCTTGTCACAATTTGTATGAAGAGGGAGGGCAGGAGTAGGAGCATCTTTAAGAAAAGGTGATTCCATGTACAAGTCAAAAAACATTTAAGCCAGCCAGGCAGTGTTGATGCATGCCTTTAATCCCAGTACTCAGGAGTCAGAGGCAGGCAGAGTTTGAGGCCAGCCTGGTCTACGAAGCAAGTCCCAGGACAACCAAGGCTACACAGAGAAACCCTGTATGGGAAAACAAGAACAAGAAACACTTTAAACAGTAAGAGTTTTAGAACAGCTGTATGAGACCTAAAATAACATTTTTTCCTCACCTCTTAAGAAAGGGTCTCCAGAACTCTGTAGCCCAGGCTGGCCTGGTACTACTGTATAGACCAGGCTAGTTTTGAATTTTAGGCTGCTTTGCCTGTGCCATCTAAGTGCTGGGATTATAGTGTGCGTGACCACACCCAGTCTGGGAAATTTATTCTAGCTCAGTGCTTCTCGGCCTGGGGGTCACCTAAGACCACTGGAAAGCATATTTACATTAAAATTCATAATAGCAAAAGTATAGTAATGAGGTAGCAATGAAAATAATTTTATGGTTGGGAGTCACCACAGCAAGAGGAACTATTAAAGTGTCCAGCGTTAGGGAGACTGAGAACTCCTGTGAATCTAGTTGCTTGTTTTGAGCTAATTCAGATGCTACCACAGAATGTTAATCACATAGCACTTCCTGATTTGAAAGTTCAAGGTTCTTTAAGCATCATGGATCTGTAAGACAGATGCCCTTATTTTCTAAAGAGAACATGGGGACTTGGATAATCAGGTAGAAGATTAGGGTGGCAATGATTTATCTCAAGTCTCCTGGCTTCATGACCCATTGCTCTGCTTTCTACCATAAGAAAAGTTGACTCAGGAAAACTCCTCTCCAGTACAAGTGTGGAGCTTGGAAACAATCCAGTACTATTTAGAGTTAGAACAAATGAGCTTTGAAAAGTGAGCACAGTGCATAGGAAATCCGTGGAGACTGGAGTAGGCAGTATTGGTGGCTGTATTTGATCAAGATAGAGTTTATGAGGTCTGGGATATCCAGTATATAGTAGGCATTGGCTGCAGAGATCTAGTTAAGGCTGATCACATCATCTAAGGGACAGGTGTGAGCCCAGGCCTTCAGCATGATAGAAACTTTAAATCTGAACTTTAACTCAGTGGTACAACATGGCAAGATGAAGGCTCCTGCTGTCACTCTGGCTGGCCTAGAACTCTCTGTGTACATTAGGTCTTAAATTCACAGAGCTCACCTGCTACCCCTACTTGGGTGCAGGGACTAAAGATTCCACTGTACCTGAGTGTACTTCAATATTTAAAACCAGCTATCCAGGGCTGGAGAGATGGCTCAGTGATTAAGAGCACTGCCTGCTCTTCCAAAGGTCCTGAGTTCAATTCCCAGCAGCCACATGGTGGTTCACAACCACCTGAAATGAGATCTAGTGCCCTCTTATGGCCTGCAAGCATACATGCAGGCAGACCACTGTAGGCTTAATAAATAAATCTAAAAACCAACAACAAAAAACAGCTATCCAATCGGTAAAATAAGATAAAATGGAAAAGAGTAGAATTTGTAGAAAAAAGGATTCAGGTTGTTTTTCTTTGGTTAAGGTCACTCTGGGGGTTGGAGCCTAGGCTACACAGTGAAATTATCAAAGAAACAGCAAGATGTTCTGGTAGTTCATTGTGCCTTTCCCTCTTTCAAATACAATGTTTGACCTGTTACTGATGAGTGAACCCAGGGCTTTGCATGCTAAGCAAGCACTCTACCAGTGAGGTACACCGTTAACCCCCTCCAAAATTGATGTTTAGAAGTATGTAGTTAGAAATCTATTCCCCTGCTTCTAAATGTTTTGTGTATACCACTGCCATAGTGATATGCACCTTTGGTATTCTAAGACTGTGTCCTTGGCAAGTAAAGAGTTAGTCCTTGGACTGTAGGGCCCTTGAAATGCCTGTTAGTGCAGCTTGGCATCATAATTGGTTGGAAAGGCAAGAATGTTGTTACCTGTGATGTCTGTAGCTATCTGGTGCTTTGCAGCTAATGTGCCTAGTTCTCTTAGACACCCCCACCCCATTTCCTAAGTGCTGTGGGTCATAGTAATCTGACAAACCCGCTGCCCTGCCTGGTAATTCTACTTCTACAGAGGAAACTTAGAAGTACCAAGACTACAATATTTTAGGCATCAGAAATGTAGGCAAGTGGCTCACAATTTTGGCTGCTAGCATCATTTGGGAAGCTTTTACAAAATTCATATGATCTAGACCCCTTTTCAGATATTCGGAGATACTGATGTGTAGTGGGCCCAATAGTTTTCTTTTACAAGTCAAGTGGGTTTTTAGAAATCCCTAAGGAGAATGAGGTGTGCAGCTAGCACTGAGATACACTGAAGAGGGGTTCTGATGCTTACTGTTTTGTTCTCACTTCAGGCCTTTGTTGGCTAAAGGAATGTGGAAATTTCCATGTGATATCCTGGGGAATTTAACTGAGGATGTCAAACCTTCATTTAGAATGAGAAATACCTGCCACAGACAGTGATCTCTTCTGCTAAACCAAATGATCTTCATTGACCTCTAGTCTCTCATTCCTTGGGGTACTGGTTGCTAGCCTTTTTAAACCTGTTTTCTGGTGCCCAGTTTGGTGAGCTGTGTAACCCATTTGAAGTTAAATGTTTTAAAATATATAGAAGAAAATGTGTATCATTACTTCAAGTTGCATTCAAGTGCGGCTATCAGAATTTCAGAGTGTATAATAATGTGTCACTTATTAGTAACAGTGGGAGTGTAGTCATGACCTTAATTTTAATTTTAAAGCAGTAATAAATGGAGATAGTAAGAAAAGATGCTGGGGCTGGATTGTAGCTCCATTGGTAGAGTGCTTGCCTAGTGTACACAGAGCCTGAGTTCTTCTCCAGCAGCACAGAACCTGAATGTGCTGGTGCATGCTGTCATCCCAGCACTCAGGAGGTGGAGACAGCGGGTCATCCTCAGCTACACAGTGGACCATGGTCAGCTGTGGTTACATGGAACCATCACCAGTAGAACTATAATGTATTATGAAGCAGCTGGTTTGTATTGGAGACAAAGTCCCAGTTTACTGATAATGCTGCAGTAGTTTATTACCAGCAGTCACAGAAAAGAATTTGAAGTTTCAATTTAAGAAAACATAATTTTTTGATACATAGTAGTGTGTTTCATTATGTTGTTTTCATGCATGGATTTAATACACTTTTATTCAACCCCTTTATTGCCTCTGTAGTCTTTTTGACTAAAACTCACAGTGGAATGTTCTTTTATTTGGCATTAACTGAATAATACACTCTCTGCAGAGATCAGTAGAAAACTAGATTGCTTTTACGTCATGAAAGCTAACAAGAGTGGTTTGTTGTTACAGGAATATAAGCGCAAGTTAGCCAGAGTTTCCCTGGTTCGCAAAGAACTCAGAGCCCGGATCCAGAGCCTGCCAGACTTATCTCGCCTGCCCAATGTCACTGGCAGTCACGTGCACCTGCCCTTTGCTGGGGACATCTACAGTGAAGATTGATGGCCAGTCTCTTCCAAGGCCAGGACTTTGCCAGACGTGGAGACAGGTTAGGTGAATAGTCCTGCAGAGTTATTTTTGTATGTTTTCAGAGAATGGTACAAGAAATGACAAGGAATTATAAAATGGTTTAAATGTTGGTTTGTTTACTCTTTTATTAGTGAGTTAACATGACTTAGTTAAAACCAAGTGATTTCTGTGTATTAATGAGCCTAAAATAGTACTTATTTTCAAAAGATCTTTTTGTAAGTTTTGTTTTTTGATGTTTTTTTGAGGCCTTGTGAGAAATTCCATGTTTCTGTTTCTTCATGTATTTTCAATTATTTTTCTTTATTTTTTTTTTCAGTATCTAATCACTGTACACTATCTAATTCCTAAGAGAAGAACTGATCAAGAGCTGATGTGAGACTGTATTATGGTATTGTTAGGACTTGATTATAGAGACTAAATGTTTCAACCTCACCTTTACCCTTTTTACCACCCAAATATTGGTTCTCTGTGTCCTCATGCCTTTGAATTTTTTATTTCCTAGAGGTCAGTAACTTAACCCTAGACATGGGTGCCACATGGAGGGTCAGATTACAGCCTATGGAGCGTTTTTTCCATAGCACTGCAGTAACTCCACCCCGAAGGCCAGCCCAGGATAAAGGCCTGCTCAGTAGACTCCCTTGATTACTGTAGAGCTAAGTGCATTCAGTGCTTTGAGGACGATGTAAGTTTTGACGTCCTATCAAGAGTACAGCTGACCGCTTCTCTCAGGTCGGTCATCATGTGTCATTGGTCCCTTTAACAAAACACCAGCTGTGGGGAGTAAAGGAGACGTCAGAAAGTGACATGCTTATTCCCTCGTCCATATAATGTAAAATAGCATTTAGCTTAAGTAGCTCAAGAACTCAGTATCCATAATACTCAGTTAAGCAGCCTGAAACATTTTATTTCCTTAAAGTTTTTGAATAACTATATATTTGGGAATTAAGCAATGCTACTACAGGGTAGATCTGGTGAATTTTATACTTGTATGTTTACAGATGTACATATAAAACAAATGTACCTTTACTCGGTCCTGGTGTGTTAGAGCAGGTGCATGCTCTCCAACTTTCTTTTAAGTTACATTGTGAACCTGTAGGTTTGTATTTGATAATGAGAGGGGACTGTTTTTCTCCTTCATTGCTTTGCATTTCTCATTGTAATCAGAGTCAAACTAGTTAGTTAATAGAACACCTTTTAAGTTTCACGGGCCAATTATATCTTGCTACTCTGAATGGCTTCACTGTTTCTTTCTCAGTATTAAGAGATTATAGTTGAATTACATGTGAAGGGTGACAGGTAATTTATCTTCAATAGAGTCAGTAGGTTGGGAAACAGTGCTTTTAACAATCTGACCTCTCTCCAAGCAGTTCTGTGTATAGATAGCATCATCCATCCCCTGCACATCCTAGCTTCCAGTGCTTTAGACAGCTTTTGGGAGTTAGGACACATTTCCTTATAGAAGCTATAGCAGGTTCCCTGTGCACACCACTGAAGCTCAGCTGGGAGCCAAATCCACTTGACCACAGATGTACTTAACCTGTGCTGTGGCTGAGGAGTGGCTCATGGCACATCCTGAGCAGCGTTTGTCTGTCACAGGAAGGGGTTTGTGTGTGGCAGCCAGACTCTGCCCTGACAGTAGGGTGTCTGCCAGTGCTGCTGTCTTTTCCCTAGGTGTAGGGATCGAAGAAAAGATTCAGCAAAGGAGGGTGGACAGATGCACATTTCACACCCTGGTTATGCCTGTTTTGAAAGTATGCCAAGTAAGTTAGTTTTTGTTGTTTTTGATGTTTTTGGAAGCAGAAGTTTTGTGTGTTAACTTATTTTCAGTATCTTGAACTTATTTATGATTTGCTGACATGGTGATTTATCCATCTAAAGTAGATACTTTTTTCCATTTAAAACTAATTTATAAACGGTGTACTCTTGGGAAGATACAAAATCTTTTAGAAGTTTGCTGAAATATTTTCACCATGAAGACAGACTTAGATACTCTTTTGATGCCAGTATCTGATCTAAATATTTATGATAAAATGTATTATTTTTTTAAAGAGCTTGATGAGATCTGTGATAAATGCTAGTACTTAAAACCTGAGTCCCACAAACTGTACAGTATGTTCTAGAAGTAAGTTTTCCAGCCTTACAGTAGTTAACATGGTAAGCCTTAGGAGATAGTCTAAGCTGGGTGTGGTGGTGCACACCTTTAATAGAAGTAGGATCTCTGTGAGTTTAAGGCCAGCCTGTTTGTTCTACAGAGCTCTCTGTAGTGAGATTCGTGCCATTAGTTTCATGGTGAGACCCTGCCTTAAAAGAAAAAGGAAGGAAGGAAGACAGACAAACAAACAGGTTTAGGTGAGGGTACAAAATACCGAACTCTAAATCATGCACATTTTCTCTACCATGCATCTAAGGTGTGAGAGCCTGGCCTGGCCCTCAGGGCAAAGTGAGTCACATTTACAGCAAGGCCCTGTGCTGTGAATGGACACCCTCCTCTTTTCTCCACAAACAGTGCAGAGAGCTGTCTGCAGTGGCAGTTTGAACAGATTCCTGGTGCCTCTCTGCTCCTGCAACACTACAGTAAGTAAAAGAACCACAGGGGGAGCTGGGAGCCTGGAAAGGAGCTGTGCTCTGCGCCAGCCTTCCCTGAGGAAAGCCACCCCTGCAGGTGTGTGATAGTGCTCCGCAGCATTCTGAATCAGAGCTAATCTTTAAGAAATCCCTTAGAATCAACAAAAGCTAGGATGATCCAGCCATCATGATTTTCAGAGTTCAAAGAATGTGGTTGGTCCGCTGTCACTGTCACGTGAGCAGTGTCACGGTGTGTGTTCCTGGACTGGTCTGAGGAGTCTGGAGAGGACAAGGACAGTGACTGGGAGGCACGAGGCCTTCCTGAATTCCCACTCTGATGGACGGGATGTGAAGTAACACAAAACCCTACTTTACCATCTGGTAGGAGTTAGTCCTAAAGATGAGCCGTGCTTCCCAGGTGTGCTCTACAAAGTTGCTAACAGTGTGGACTCGGCTCTCCTGTACAGAAAGGGAACATGTGTCACTTAATGGATGTGGTTATACAGAGCTTTTGTTGCCATCTACAGTCAGTCTGAGGTGACAGGGGCACATGGGAAGAGGATTCTCCCTGTCTTTTACAAACCCTTTAGCTGTATCTGATGACAGTATAAGATACTAATAAAGTTTTATGTTCTTTTTGAAGAGTTTTTGTGCGTGTGATTTCTTTTTTTTCTTTTCCTTTTTTTGGTTTTTTTGTTTTGTTTTGTTTTGTTTTGGTGAATCCAGTTGATTGCATAAAGGACAGAAAGGCTTGGAGCTAAAGGGAGGGAGTTGGCAAAGTCCTGGAAGTGTCAGTGAAGCAGAAACTATAAAAAGGGATCTCTGTACTTGGTCAGTAGTCCAGACTTGTAGGACTATCAGTATTACTACGTCATTTGTTAAGTTGCAGATGGCTGAGTGCCAAAATCTTATCTCAAATATTTAAGCAGGGGTTGGGGAAATAGCTCAGTGGGTAAGAGCCATTGCAGTATAAACATGAGGACCTAAGTTTGGTTTCCCAGTGCCTGAATAAAAAGCTGGGCATGGTTACAAGTGCCAGTCCTGGGGTGGAGACAGGCAGATTCCAGGAGCTCCCTGGCCGGCTAGGATAGCCAGAATAGCTTCAGGTTTAGTGAGAGACCCTATCTCAAGACACAGAGAGCAACAGAGAAAGAAACCAGTGTCCTGTTCTAGCCTCAGCTTGGGCACATGTACCATGCATACACACACACGAAAATAGTTTAGGAATTATGGGTAATTATGAAGTACAGTCTTTACAGTTCATCACATAGTTGGCTCCTTTTGGGGCAGGGAAGAGCCATTTGATACATGCCAGCACTAGCACAGTGCTCTCAGGTGGACTTCCTGGAGTATAGGCTTCCTGGGACTCCTGAGTTAACGTTTGTGGTGCTAGGGATCACAATCAGGGCCCCTGATGCTAGGTGTGTGCTGTAGTGGTAGTTATACCACTCGTTTTCATGCTTTGGATTTAATGTAAAATTGGGAAATACTAGAAATCTGTGTTGACAAGAGTTTTGATAAGCCTCGGCTGTGGCTGGGAATGTGGTTCAATTGTAGAAGGCTTGTAAGTAAGACTACGGCCCTGGTTAGATCTCTGACATAACACACATACCACTCACACACACGACTTAGTTGAAGTTACTAGAAAAGGTCAAACTGTCCTATTTTTGCACTCTGGAAAGTTGGGGAAATACGGTCCTCTGGCTAGTGCCCTTTCCCCCATTCTTACATGGCACTTGGCCACTTCATCTGAATTCATGTGCTTCCTATTCGCATTACTCGAGTAGAATGTAGGTTTTATAAACTACAGAATCCATAGCCACATGTTCTGCCTCAGAATCCCATGCCAGAGACTGCAAAGAGTCAGGCCCGGTGTACATGTAAGGGACCCCAAGGGTTTGCGTGACAACTCTGCACCTTCCCAGTTCTCCTTCACATTTTATTATTGTTAATATCTAACCTGCAGTTCACCGAACCAGCTCTGCCTTGCCCTGTTCTTTTTCCCTTTGGTTTGGTTTTGTTTGTTTGCTAGGCTGTCTCACAGACACCTAAGCTGGCCTGGGGATGGGGTCTCGCTGCCTCAGCCTGCTCGGTGCTCACATTGATTTGGACTGTCCTTGATTGCACTTCTTAACCTGTTCATTCTGTTTCCAGCCAGACCTGTCTTGTCTCTTTCCTTCATTGTTCCCTTTGTCTATTCACTGTTTCTTCTTCTGGCTTCTCTATTCTAATATCGATTGCTGGACTTGCTCTGTTTATTTCCTAACAATCCCCACCTTTAAATCTTAGATTACATGAGACTGTCCCCAGTCCTTTACTCCCTCCCAGGTTAGGAAAGCTGAAAATCAACTTTAAAATTTTATTTGCCAGGCGGTGGTGGTGCATGCCTTTAATCCCAGCACTTGGAGGCAGAAGTAGGCAGATCTCTGAGTTTGAGGCCAGCCTGGTCTACAAGAGCTAGTTCCAGGACAGCTAAGACTGTTACATAGAGGAAAAACCTATTGAAAAACCAAAATATGAATGAATGAATGTATTAAAGAATTTATGTATCTATCATCCATCCATCTATCTGTCTGTCTGTCTATTGTGGGATTATAGGTGTGTACTAGCACGGCAGCTAGAGTGAACTGCTGATGGAGATGATTTCAAGTGATGTTTGATGGAGTTTTTGAGGCACACAGATTACTACTCAGCTGCTCTTATGTCTTCAAATGTCTAAAAGCAAGTGGGAATGGAATAATAACAATTTTCAGAATTTTATTTTTCTAAGCTAGGGGCATATTAGATCAGAATCATTAGCCTTGGCCAAGAACTTGTTCTTAGTGCAAACTATTGGGCCCAGGTTTACAATATCCAAGGTTAGGTGTATGCACCTCTTAAAAAATTCCTAGATAATTAAAATTTTTAAAAAACATTTTTTAAAGAACATTTTGTTCTTTTATATGTGTGTATGTGTGTGCGTACAGATATGTACATGTACCTGCAGGTCAGGGGTTTTTAATGCCCCTAAAGCTGGAGTTATAGGCAGTGTGAATTGTCTGAAGTTGGTGTTTGGAACACAACGCAGGTCCTCTGCAAGACCAGTAACCTCTTAATCGTTGAGCCATCTCTCCAGCCCCTGGACATCCTATCTTAAGCATCCGCCAGTGCTCCTAATCTCTTGGTAAAGTGGGCTATGTAACAAACTTTAGAATTACCACATTTGAGTTGTGCTTCATGGAAAAACACAAAACTTGAATTTTGAGTTAATTTAAATAATTGTGATTCAGAACCATTAGCTAATCCAGATATAGCTAGAAATACTGCTCTATTCAGTTAATTCTGTCTTCCTGTGTGTGTGCTATTGAGAACAGAACCCAGTACCTTGCCCATGATAGTAGTCACTCACTCTGCCACCAAGCAATATCTCAGTTTCTTTGTTCACCAGATAAAACTTTACCTTACTTATGGAAGTACAAGTTGAAGGAGGAATTTAAAAGTCATATATTAATATATGGCTTTCCCCAAATAATAATGTCTTTTTTTACTATTGCTTGTTGTCACAGAGTCTCACTATATTGTTCAGGCTGGCCTTGAACTCACAGCCTTCCTGAGTTCTGGGATTATAGGTATGCACCACCATGTCCAGCAAATTCTTTCTGAGACCAAGCTGTTAAATCACTCCCAGTGCTATTGTGTAATCTCATTGTATTCACTATACTGCCATAAATAGGGGAGTGGAGCTTTGGCTGTGGTTTTCAGACCTGAGCTGCAGTTAACACTTTTCATCTGGTTTTGAGCTGGTATTTGAGTGTTGTAGGGCCTCAGGTGAGCTTCCCGGCCAGTTCGTCATGTACCTGTCTATTGGCATAGACGCCCAAGATAGCAACAAATGTTTAGCTTTCTCTGTTTGAGGAGCTAGTTTAAATGTCTTTACTAGCATTGAGGAAGACAGACAACAGTTGTCAGCCCCTGCCTCTTTGCTTCCTTTTATGCCCATTAATGGGATAGAACAGTAAAATTTTAAATCAGTAGCATAAAACAAGGTCTTTAAGTAATACACACTTTAAAGCATACCACTTAATAACAGTATTTAGAGGAATGTCTTACAATTTAGGAAAGAATTTTCATTATGGATTTTTTAGATGTATTTACGTATTAGTGTTTGCTTGTTTGTATGTCCGTGTACTAAGTGCATGCCTAATGCCCAGGGGGATCAAAAGAGGGCACCTGATCTCCTGGAACTGGAGTTCTGGATGGTTGTGAGGCACCATATAGGTGCTGGCAAACCTGGGCCCTCTGCAAGGGCAGTAAGTGCTCTTATCACAGCACTGTCTCTCTACTTTTCCTGTGGTTATACACATACCACTTGTAGTAGTTGGCCCTCCCCTTCCACCATGTGGGTCCTAGGGATTAAACTCAGGCCATCGTCTGGCGGTAAGTGCTTCTACTTCCTGGTCATCCTTCCAGCCCTCTTGGAATATTTTTAATGTCTTTATAGTCAGTGAAGTAATCACTTTTTCAAATAAACCAGTGTGGTAGGCATGCAATTTTAGATGTTACTCGGCCATATGCAAAATAAAACATTTATGAGGTCTATTTTTGGCAGTTAATGACCTGAATATTCCAGTGCTTGTTATCTGTCATTTCAGAGACTTTAGTTTCTTATAAAGCTGTAGATATTCATCAGACATCATTTGTTTAAAATATTATGCTTTTTTTTTTGCTTTAATTTCTGACTTTGTCACACTGTGTACCGTGTGGATTTAGACCATATTTATGATACCATACTACATTACACTAAAAGTTTTGATTTTTTTTTTTTAATTTTTTGTTTTTCGAAACAGGGTTTCTCTGTAGCTTTGAAGCCTGCCCTGGAACTAGCTCTTGTAGACCAGGCTGGCCTCAAACTAACAGATTATCAGCCTACCTCTGTTTCCTGAGTGCTGGGATTAAAGGCGTGCGCCACCACTGCCTGGCCTAAATTTTGAAAATATTTTTTAAAATACAGGCTTTTTTTTGTATGCTGCTGAAAGAAATCGTCATTTGTATTTTATGTTGAAAGATCTTTGTTTCCTTCTGAAATAAATGACAATAAAAACTGTTAAAAATGAAATAAATGCTACCATTCAAAATCCACTATACCTTTATTGTAAGAACTGTCATAGTTTCTTAAACCCCAACCCTTTATTACATTGACTCTTTGTATGGGGGGGGGGTACTCATGTGCATGCCAGAAAACAACTGGCATCTCTCTGGTCTGGTCTTTTGTATTTGATCTTCACATTTACCCAGGGAAGTCCCAGTCACTTGATTTGATGAGGCATTTTCTGCATAAGCACCAAAGGATGCCAAGAGCTTGGTTTTGGACCGAGTTTCCATGTGCTCAAATATTTAAGTGAAGACAAAAGCTCAGAACCTGCACTAGGCAGTCCTTTTCAAAGGCGTTCTCCTCACAGAGAAGATAAGAAGTGCCTGAAGTCCAGCTTTGGGTTCCTCTCAGATGCACTCTGACTAAGCAGCACTTTTAGTTGAGAGAAGTGTTTCTTTCTTTTGCTCCCACTCCTTGAGGAGCAAACAGGTGTTGACTGCCCAGATGCGGGTGTTCTGAAACGAGAGAATGACTACTGTTAACACATTGCCAAAGGACAAACGTTCTGTAG